AAATGGCTTTATTTCATATTTTTGAGTAAAACATTCTAAGGATATATTCAACTTGTATAACTTCACACAATGTGTGGTTAGTAATAACTTTACATCACATATGCTAAATTACCTTTTATACCTTTTTGAGCCTCGGTCTCACGTCTTTCCAAAACAAAATATCTGTTTGTTTACATTATGCATCATATTCACACGAAAAGAACCTGATTACACTCGAAAAAACACGATAAATTCACTCGAAAAAACACACGATCCCAACAGGACACTATACCTACCGTATTTAAACTCAAAATAAAATTACATTCACCTCGAGCTATGTTCTCGGTAAATATATACACCTCTGTATTAAAGTCATTTATGTTGCTTTGGGACATTCCACAAGTCTGAACTGTCAAGACAAAGACAAAGCAGACAATGGCGATTGTAAGTTTATTCAAAGAAATTTAACTTAAAAGTTTTCAAAAGCTTTATTGTATAGAACTAGAATAAAATGCATTGTTTTCACGCATGCGTCGAAAATCAACACTACTGCCTATTCAACAACATTTAAAGATATATTGAACAGTCTAGATGCGTGTATTTCGGAAACATGTAAATCATTCAAATTCAACCATATTTGATATACCGGATGTGCACAATACAAAAGCCAGAGATGTACAAACATCACTTACCTCTAATTGGCATTGGTACCATCAACACCATCTTTCTGGTTGTATCAAATGATGTTGTTGTCTCTGTAACGCATTCGGAACCATTTTCGGAAGAAGACTCTAAAACCGTGACAGTTTCTTTCAGCTTCATCGTGGGTAATTAATAATAAATGAACAGACTTCTTTGTTGTTACTATTTCTATATAAATGATTTTAAAGTGAGTTTGTCGTTTTATCGATCAGTTCCAATTAAGTATTGACGAGTTAACACGACACGTTCAATAACATTACAAAAAGCTACAAATGCCAACTTTATGATGTGAATTAACGTAAATTTACATTGTTGTTTCGAGCAGCGCTTAATCTACTGGAAAATTTGTTTGGATTTTCGCACTTTTACCGTTTCCGGTAAAGATGGCGTTGCTTCCGGGAAAAAAGACAGTTGAGGTCTAAACGAGTTTAAAACATTGTCATCCATGACATTTTAGTATCATTTTTATAATTATTAGTTTACGCGATTGTATTATTTCTAAGAGACACACTTTGCTCACTTTTGAAGTTAAATTAGAGCAAATGATCAAAAATAATACGATATGATGAATGTGGGAGAATATCGCAATAGTCCATACGATCTGTTTAACTAAGGTAATGTGGGAATATTATATAGCCTTTAAGTTAATATAGTTATTAGTGGCATCTTTCAAATTATTAACTTAATTGCTGATGAAAGTTTTTTTTCTGATTTCTTTAGTCGGTAGAAAACTAATAAAACTACTAAGATTTTAAACTGGTTTATTCATCATTGTTTTTTTTAATTGTATTATTTTCGCGAGTTTTTCCTTTTTTTCTATCGTTGACTATTTTACCGCATCCAAATATATAGTATTTCGATCGGGTATAAATATATCGGCGTTTTCACATGACTAATACAACTGTTGCATATAGACTGAATGAGTCGTCAAATATTGTCTAATATCGCGTTCCTAAGAATGGAGAAGTTAGATTCAGAACCATAAAGCTGTTTTTCTTCTTACATGAAGTTTGCAGCAATCACTTGTCGGTTGCTGTACCTTGGTAAAAGCAATTGCGGGGTCAGTATGACATAACTTATACCTGTGCGTAGTCAATTCCTACACGGTTTTATTTATGTGAAAATGACCGATTCAACCAATATAAAATTATAGTAGCACTAGTTGTTTTGCGGTCATGATAACCTCTTTCCTGAACGAGCTTGTGTACATTCGAAATGGTCCGGTATCTATAAAATGTAATCCGGGAAGATAAAATGTCATGTTGACATGTGTGACTGTTATCTTCTTTCCTTTTTGGTCATATAGCTTCTCAAGTATTTAAGTATCTATACATTTTTTACTTTCATATTTTGGTTCCTGATGGTCCAGAAAAACGATTCGGTCGCACCAACTATATAGAGTGTTATATCGAGGTTGATCAGTAGTCCTCCTGGATAACTCAAATGGCTTTAAACTGAGAAATATACCTACAGTTATATCTCATAAAGATGTACCTGGATGGAGTTACATATCCTACTGTGGGTTGTTACCGTGTACCTCCTTGACCACTGTACATTTACGTTGAATTTATATCAACATTTGCATTACAGTATCGAAATTACTAACAAGCAAATCTATATTTGTGTTATTTTATTTTTTCTTAAAAAATACAAAACAGTACATTGATGCATTTATTTTTGATTACTTCAAGAATATTGTTCTGGAAGCTGTCTATCCTTTAAATAACCGTTAAATGTCGCAAAAAAATACAGTTTGGCTGATTCATGCTAATATATTAGTTCTATTTGATTATTCTATAGTATTCTTATTTATTTCTTAAAATTTCGATCACACAGAAAAAAATAATGTATATCTTATCATCTAATAATATATGAAATAATTGATGAAAGAACACCGTTTATATTTCATAAATTCTATTTTGGACAATTGTTCTTAGGTTTACCTAGGTTTAGTTCATTTTATTATGGGATAGGGTGCTTCATCTTCTAGTACGTGGTCAACAAACACCGAATATCATGGTTCATGCATTGAAAAATATATTAGATTTCGTTTGTCAATCAATTATACCTTGTAATTTGTATTCCTTGTACCAATGGTACTGATTTTGTCCATAATGTTTTAATTATATTTGAAATAAATGTCATTGGATCTGTATGATATAAAAAATATTGAAGATATAAACTTAATGATGAAACTATGCTTTGTTTACTGCACTTGTATATTTTGATTTCAGCAAAAACAAACAAACAGGTGACATTTTTTTAACAAAATCGGAGCATTTAATACCAAAACTGACTATATAGACCCCAAAAATGCTTTTGAGTTCTTATAGAACACGATAGAATGTAGAATGTTGCACAGGTGAATATGATAAAATCCTTAGCAGCTCTAATCGTATTTCGGGAACCCTATTGACTTTTATTTGTATAATTAAAGTTGAATTACATGACAGAGGAAGCTTAACATAAAGCAGAGATGATAATTATCCGTCGACATTCACGCCATTGACATTTCCATATTTCACCAAGTCCATTTGTTACCAGCCTCAATGGTCACTTATCGCTAATTTATTACCCCGGCAATATCGCCTTGACCATTCAATGGCCAAAGTCCACTTCTATCAAGCTGAATTGCTTTCTATCAGTAGTTCCATTAAATTAATATTAACGGTCGATTGATTCCTGTGCGGATTAATTGAAGATCTCGTTAAATCTCGTTAGTCCATTATCAAGCGGCAGCCGATAGTTCAACCCTCTTGTGTACATAGTGGTCAATTTAATCGGTCATAAATTTCCTATCTTGTTTACATGATAGGTTGAAGTGGATGGTCATTTTCCTGATGATTATTTGTATACTCGAGAATACTGATAGTAATTCTGATCAATATGAAAATATGAACATAAGGAAAAGCGACACAAAAATATATAGAGGTCAACATATAGTCTTCAACAAGAGTCAATGCAATTAAATCGCTCAATGTAAAAAAAATATCCTCGAAATCATACCAAATATCTGCCATCAGAACCTAATTCCCAAAATGTAAAAATTGAAAGAAAATGATATATAACAAAAGACATTCACTGACGAGTATGTGCACATGATCAATGAAAAGTCTGCAACTATTAGTTAAACTAGATGTTTAATAAAAAGTATCCATGCACAGATATATATACTCCATGTGTCTTCTTTTTCTTCTTCTTATTCTGATTCTGTATAAAAAAAACTGTTGGACTCTTTAATCTTGCTCCCAATGTTTTAAACCTTTTCTTGTCGTTTTAAGTTATTTCATTTTTTTAGTAACTCGCAATACGTAAGACACAACAATAAACTTCCAGAGGAACTGAATTCCATCTCCCCCGGTATGTGTGTACATTTTTTTCTCTTATCTATGCATAAAACATGACAGTATAATGTGCTGAAAAAGTACTTTATAAACTTCATTCGTCATTTAAACTCATCTTAAATAGACCTTTCTATTGACTTTGAACAAAATACATATCTTTGGTTGTTTTATTATAAAGTAATAAAATGCTTTCAGCTACATCTGCGTATAAAATTGATTCCAAAAGGGAATGTCTGATCTATTTAACAAGTAAACATCATTATACAAACGAGACTGTTGTTAAAACCTTCTCTTGTTAACAGTAATTCACCCATAATTGTATTACAGGTACCCTTTTCTCCTGAATCATGCTGTGAAACAAATCTATTTCTTCTCATAGAGACCCAGTAATAATTTATCAAATAATTGAATTCAAATCCGTCCATCTTTTCATTAGTGTTTTAACACAAAGTGTAATTTATTTCATTTAGCCTTCCGTGTACGTTATGTCGAAGTTGATTGAGAAGATTCGCGGTTCGTAGTTATGATGGATAAAAATTGACATATTTGACATAACTGTATTTCCTTTTGAACCTTTTGCATTACAGAATTCTCGATAGAGTAATCAGGTTTCCGGGACAGTTCTCCTGTTTATAGTCATAATTCCAAATGTTCCATGCAGGAATTAGTGATGGTCAGTTATCAAATTTCTGATAATATCGAATTTGACGGAGATGTCGAGAGAGGCCACTACCGTTATCGTATAGAGGGCAGACAAACGATCTTAGAAATGCGATGAATTTATGAACAGTTTTATTGTAATTCGATCATATATATTCACATTAATATCACTCAAAGTACCAACAAAGCCTTTTGGTTAATTAGGACAGATGACCTTTCACCCCATTGAAACATACATCATATGTGGAAATTACGTACAATAAATGTCAAAAGGGATAAAACAATCATAACTTTTCACCAAAATTGCACGTTTTGACAGAAATATATCATTTTAATCGTTTTATAACACTCTAAGTAATAAAATGTTAAAATTGAATTTCAGCACCGTGTGTATTTCATTACAACTTGATATGTCTATGAGTTTTAAATCTAACTTGAGTAAATTCATTAATGAAAAACATTTGCGACTCAGATCTTAAATACTCTAAATTTTCAGTAAATTTTGCATGATGGTAAATTATCTGGATTATGTTATTATTAAAGTAACATTTACCATTTTTTTCAACCTACTATAATTTCCTGATTTGAGATAGATACATATAACTGCTATCCTTCATGGATATAACTTTTTACTTTAATTTGTTGATACATTAAAAAAAAAAAAAATTGGGGTGGCTTTATTTTTAAAACTAAAATGCATGGTTTTGAGAAAAATATCCCTTAAACGCGTGAGAATGTTACAGATTTTTGTCAAATAATTCGGCGAAGTTTTGTATCCTTACCGATCACACATGCACTTATAACAATTGAAGAATTGCAAGTGAAAATGGAGAACGCTGAGATATTCTGTAAGTTATAAAGAAAGACATTTTTATACAATAGCGCTGTGACTACTGGTGTGCTATTGCAAGCTTTGGACAGTGAATCTTAACATCACCTCTGTCTGACCAGTACAATACCAACATGACAAATCAAAAGGATGAAAGTAATTTCAAAACGATGTTAACAGGTTAAAGGTATTTTAATACAATCGATTACCATCACCAAAATGAACAGCCAAATTGAATTCCTACTCGCTATTATTTATGTATATGTTGCGTATGTCTGCGGCTAAACCTTTTTCTTTTCTGTTTTCTATCTTTTCTTGTTATGGATCCATATATATGTCTCTGATGAAACCAAAATACTTAAGACCATAACACCATTTTGTTACATAGAAATATGAATGGTTTCCGTTTTTTGTTTGTTTTTTTTTTTAATTCATTTATTATATCTTTTCTAAACCTAATTTCTTTTGAATTTTTTTTTTTTCTATTAATATAATAGTTTTGCAAGTAAATCATCATTTTACTATATTTTTTTTGAAAGAGGATGAATACACAATACAAGTCTATGTTAGTTCTGAAAGCTCGAATACAAAACACACATTAGCTCATCTTTTTTACTCAAAATTGTTTTTCTTTCCTATGCGGTAGATATTAAGAACATCGTTAAAGTTTTATGAAGATATTTCCACAGCAATAAATGATCATCTTTTCCCATCTTTTGTATCATCGAAACCACATAATAATCAAATTTGACTTTGAAGCCGACTCATTGTTTGATTTTAAATTTTCTCAGGATTTTCAAAAGTTTTTAAGAAATAATTGATTGTCAGAATTTTATGAATACACCTGTAATAGATTAAAATTTTGCCGTGACTCATTAAAATATTATCATCCCCAATCAAAAGCATCCTTAAGCCTTTCCCTGACCCCTGCTGGACATCAGTACTGGTCATTATTTTCGCTGGCCACTCGATGTCACGACCTTAGGGTCAACTAGTTTCCCACATATAAATTTTTATACAAAGACACCTATTTTACATCCAGCAATGTACTTCAATTCAAATTCATACTAAATTATATTTCATTGTCCGACGATGGCCTTAGCTTGACACCAAGCTCCGGACAATTCATGGTCCAGATGACCATAAAATGACCACATGCATTTTAAAGAGATATATTTCTCTTTTACTATCCAATTATTTCAATAGTATTTATAAAACTGGTGTTTTACACAAAGACAAATTGCTTTAAAATATTTTGACCAAGCAAGTGACCTGGTCAGACCTTTCTTGTTGACAATTCATCTAAGGTCAGTCCCGTTCTAAAAAAGGTGAAATTTGATAAACTGGACAACTTAATTGTTTATCTTTTCATTACCCATAGATTTTCATTCTGATAAAACAGTTTTTCGGACATCGAGGTGTGAAATGATAACATGAATGTCGATTTCATTTTAACTTGAAGTCCTAAAATCTTGATACTCCCAAATCTATCCGATCTAAATTGGAGTGAACTGCAGCTCGTCCAAGCACGGACACTCGGACTTTTTTTTTCATAGTAGTAGTTTTGTTTTACCGTTTGTTTGGTTTACAGATGGTAAAGTTTCATAGACTGTTACATATTGAATTAGCATTTTATACTTATTTTTTTAAAATAAATCCTTTTCAGCAAATTCTACTTTACGATATATTGAGGGCACAAGGAGGCTAAAAACTTCACAAAACCATTAAACTTCAAATGGGGTGGGGGGTTATGGTTTTTTCCTAAAAAAATATTCTGATCCCCAATTTGATGAAAAAGAATATTGTGGTCAAGCAGATGACAAAAAAAATATTCTGAATCCAGTTTTTCCCCATACCTTATAGTGTTATATTTTGAAAAAATAATTTGATTGATAGCGTCGAAAAACTAAAAAAAAAATTCTGACTCAGACAAAAAACCATAACCCCCCCTTTTTGAAGTTAAATGGTTGCTCCCTAATATATAAAAGTACGCCTGACGCCGGTGTCGTCTACACAAGTCTTATCAGTGGCGCTCGAATCAAAACAGTGGGAAGGCCAAATCAATTAAAAAAAAGTTTTTCCTCGTTTGCATGCATGCTAAAGTTATCTATAAATTGGGATAGATAAACCTTAGTGTTTCGAATGGTTCCAGCATTTAATGAACGGAAAACTAACAGAAAATAAATGTATTTATGATGATTGCTGGGTTTGAGATACCCAGTAGGACATGATTCTTTGACAGTCTCTTTTTCATAATGTAATACGTTTTTGTTGTGCTTGATATTACATATACCGATATCAATAATGTCGATATGCTAGAAATTGTTAAGCATGCCTTATAAAAATTTCCGCGAGGTAAAAGCAACATGTCCTCGAAAACAAGAACTGAAAAGTTCTAAAGGCGGGAACAGTGACAACACAGTAAAATTATCAACGAAATAAAATTGAAAAATGCCTTTTTAAAATTTTAAACGTCACAGCAACACTATTAAGTATAAATAAGAGAAATGAAGCCGGTGTGAGTTTTGCTTATTGTTGAAGACCGTACGGTGACCTATAATTGCTTACATCCACGTCATTTGGGTTGGATCTTATCGGCAACCATACCACAACTACTTATTTGTATACCGAATGCAACAGGTGATTTCAAGTCATTTATACAAAATATTTTGGATAAAAGAAAAGTAAAATGGATAAAAAAAGCTTATTCTTAAGCTATTGGAAACAACAGTTCTGAACAAGAACAAATCTATTTATCCTTTTTTCAAAACAGGTAGAAGATTGCAACAGGATTTAACATTTCTTGATTTGGACTAAGTGGGGTTTATATCCGCTCATATTTACAAATCGAGAAATGATTAATTCCAATTACAAAACCATTATAACATTGAGCAAGAACTGCCAATGTGTTGGCCTTGAATTAAACACTACTTGAAAATTGAGATTATAGTTTCATTTAAAAAACATGAAATAGTTAACAAATCGAGCAACTTGACGGGTGCCACTTGTGAAGCAGGATCAACTAACCTTTCCGGAGCACCTAAGATCAGTATTTAGTTTTCTGAGTAAAGTTTTGTTGAATTAGTTTGTCTTTTCGTCGTCTTTCGATGTTTGGTCGTGGTCATGTCGATGTTTGGTCGTGGTCATGTCGATGTTTGGTCGTGGTCATGTCGTTGTTTGGTCGTGGTCATGTCGATGTTTGGTCGTGGTCATGTCGTTGTTTCTCTTTGACCTGTGACTTTCGATGTTTGGTCTTGGTCATGTCGTTGTTTCTCTTTGACCTGTGAGTTTCGATGTTTGGTCGTGGTCATGTCGATGTTTCTCTTTGACCTGTGAGTTTCGATGTTTGGTCTTGGTCATGTCGTTGTTTCTCTTTGACCTGTGAGTTTCGATGTTTGGTCGTGGTCATGTCGATGTTTCTCTTTGACCTGTGAGTTTCGATGTTTGGTCGTGGTCATGTCGTTGTTTCTCTTTGACCTGTGAGTTTTGATGTTTGGTCGTGGTCATGTCGTTGTTTCTCTTTGACCTGTGAGTTTCGATGTTTGGTCGTGGTCATGTCGTTGTTTCATTTTGACCTGTGAGTTTCGATGTTTGGTCGTGGTCATGTCGTTGTTTGGTCGTGGTCATGTCGTTGTTTCTTTTTGACCTGTGAGTTTCGATGTTTGGTCGTGGTCATGTCGTTGTTCTTTTTGACCTGTGAGTTTCGATGTTTGGTCGTGGTCATGTCGAAGTTTGGTCGTGGTCATGTCGTTGTTTCTCTTTGACCTGTGAGTTTCGATGTTTGGTCGTGGTCATGTCGTTGTTTCTCTTTGACCTGTGAGTTTCGATGTTTGGTCGTGGTCATGTCGTTGTTTATCTTTGACCTGTGAGTTTCGATGTTTGGTCGTGGTCATGTCGTTGTTTCTCTTTGACCTGAGAGTTTCGATGTTTGGTCGTGGTCATGTCGTTGTTTCTCTTTGACCTGTGAGTTTCGATGTTTGGTCTTGGTCATGTCGTTGTTTCTCTTTGACCTGTGAGTTTCGATGTTTGGTCGTGGTCATGTCGATGTATCTCTTTGACCTGTGAGTTTCGATGTTTGGTCGTGGTCATGTTGTTATTTGGTCATGGTCATGTCGATGTTTGGTCGTGGTCATGTCGTTGTTTCTCTTTGACTTGTGAGTTTTGATGTTTGGTCTTGGTCATGTCGTTGTTTCTCTTTGACCTGTGAGTTTCGATGTTTGGTCGTGGTCATGTCGTTTCTCTTTGACCTGTGAGTTTCGATGTTTGGTCGTGGTCATGTTGTTATTTGGTCGTGGTCATGTTGTTGTTTGGTCGTGGTCATGTCGATGTTTGGTCGTGGTCATGTCATTGTTTCTCTTTGACCTGTGAGTTTCGATGTTTGGTCGTGGTCATGTTGTTGATTGGTCGTGGTCATGTCGATGTTTGGTCGTGGTCATGTCGATGTTTCTCTTTGACCTGTGAGTTTCGATGTTTGGTCGTGGTCATGTTGTTGTTTCTCTTTGACCTGTCAGTTTCGATGTTTGGTCGTGGTCATGTCGTTGTTTGGTCGTGGTCATGTCGATGTTTCTCTTTGACCTGTGAGTTTCGATGTTTGGTCGTGGTCATGTCGTTGTTTGGTCGTGGTCATGTCGATGTTTCTCTTTGACCTGTGAGTTTCGATGTTTGGTCTTGGTCATGTCGATGTTTCTCTTTGACCTGTGAGTTTCGATGTTTGGTCGTGGTCATGTCGATATTTCTCTTTGACCTGTGAGTTTCGATGTTTGGTCGTGGTCATGTCGTTGTTTCTCTTTGACCTGTGAGTTTCGATGTTTGGTCGTGGTCATGTCGTTGTTTCTCTTTGACCTGTGAGTTTCGATGTTTGGTCGTGGTCATGTCGTTGTTTCTCTTTGACCTGTGAGTTTTGATATTTTTTGGTATCTTTCGCTTCTTTTTCAACATGACATTTTGCTGTAATATGTAAAACGCCCATAAAAAAAATATTTGGTGGAAATGATTTTTGTTGATGCCATGTAATAATCATTTTAATCCCTGTACGTATATCCCCGTACTTCTTCGTTTAGGTCCAAGAAGAAGCATTGTAATCCCTGTACGTATATCCCCGTACTTCTTCGTTTAGGGTCAAGAAGAAGCATTGTAATCCCTGTACGTATGTCAACGTATATTTGTTCCGCCTAACAGAAGTTCCACTGGAAACTTTGTTATAAACAATGTCATAATATCTGTTCCTGTTGGCACAAATATTCTATACCATTTATTCCGTTAGGAACATTTACTGTTGTATTTATTCCAGTGGAAATAATATTCCAGAATATTGTTTCTATTTGGAACTTATATTATGAAGGAACCTCTATTCCGTGACACGTATATCCCCGTACTTCTTCGTTTAGGGCCAAGAAGAAAAAACAAATATATGTACATTTATCTACTGCTTTATTTCATATGCTCAACTTTTCAATATTCAATAGTTGATGGGACTAATATATATATAGTGGTTGGATACCAGAGGGAATGTAAGCATGTAACACTTTTACAAATTAAGCTGAAATTACAGTATCTCAAAACGTTTTATATTCAATAGAATTTAAAATAAGATGTTGTTGGATTAGATATAAAAAGGAAACACGTGAGGAATAAAATTATTTACATTTAAATGTAATTACAATATTCTTTCTCAAGTTGTCAATTTAAACAACCATTGATGGACCAATATGTTTACTTTTCACTTATGTTGTTTACAATCATGTATTTGAATAAAAAGTCAGTTGCGTGACCATAAAGTGACCACTGGTCAAAGAATAAAATACATTACAAAACAAAGACACTGTCCTTGTGTTCTTTTGAAGTGGAGTTATACGAGGGTCCTGCACTTTATTTGACACGGGGATCAGCGAGGCTCAGGATGTGAATTACTTCTTTACTATAATCTTTTATTCACTGACCACCTGGGGTCAGAGGTCTACAATTCTGAGATCAGAGGTCTTTGGCCAAATGTTATCCAGTCTCCGGACACCACGCATCCTGCAGAGTGATTGGCTGTTCGGAATATCTTTTTGTAGTGTCTCTTTTGTGTTTTACTCGAACTTCACGGTCATCAATTTCTTCTTCTGTCAAGAAAATAAGATTGAATTCGTTTAATTTGCAAAAGCTATGCAGTTTCATCCATCTGGTCCATAGCTGCACGCGCGGCAGTAATTCCTCATCTGTTTCATTAAAATCAGGGGTCAAAAAAGTCAAAACATAACTAGCATTGTCTTTGTTATGGTTTTAAGGTCTGGACAATGTTGACCACTGACCATCTCAAAGACCAGTGGTCAAGACTTGATTAGCTTCAGTGGGCGTGTCAGATCATCTGTTTTATCACATGGTAAATCACACTTTTTACTAAGAAAGTCGATTTATTAAAAATCTTCTTAATAATATCAAAGAGATGTATACGATCACAATGTCATTACTCTAATAATAAAGTTGCTTTTATACTGACCACTTAATGCGATTGTAATGTATTTCATTTAACATTTAACCATGATTTAATTTGATGGCTCAAAGAAATGACTAAGTCTTAAATTGACAATATCCTTTTCATTCCCGATTACTTTAATTTCGGTTTCTTTAGATCATATTTCACGTTCTTTACAAAATTTTGGACGAAATACGAATACTTAGTATCACTTTTTCATTTGGTTAGAGCATACAGAACATTTCTTTGTATCAATAACAGTATAACAGGATTGTTGCGCATGCATGTATAAAAAGCACAGGGCCTAACCAGAAGGTAGAAATAGACACAAACGCTTCTAATTTGTTGTAAAATAACTCAAATATAGGTGAGGGTAAAGTTTTTGTACTTGATTTCACTGACAAAACTGTTTAAATCACACATTATAAATCATTGATTAAACCTTCTCCTTAACCAAAATTTCTACATAAACCCCTAAAATAATAAATAAATAAATAAATAAATAAATAAATAAATAAATAAATAAATAAATAAATAAAAAAATAAAAAAAAATAAATAACTAATAAATAAATAAATAAATAAATAAATAAATAAATAAATAAATAAATAAATAAATAAATAAATAAATAAATAAATAAGATCAAGATCCCTCAAAACAGCACTGTACACCAACTTAAATGTGAAATAAGTCTACAAACCCAATTAACTTCGAACACCACCAGTGCATTGCAGAATATGCTTTTCCGTTAAAATCGTGATGGAATAAAAACAATTGCAACAAGTATACATGTACAGTAATAACAAATATACATGTACAGAAACAACAAATACACATGTAAACTGTACATAAACAATAAGTACAACAATAAAATACATTGCCTTTAACCGTGAATGGTGAGGCCTTATATAATAATTGGTTTATTTATTAGTATTGATGACTGATTCTCTTCCCAAGAACTACTTTTGATCCGGTATCGACTATAACACTTGACGACCCAGATATCATTAAATAGATTGTAGCTTTTTACCTTTTACTTTTTAAGTGCTGCTTCCACTTACATAAAACTACAAATGCCTTTTGATTTAATACTATCTCTTATAACAGGCAATCCTATGCTTCACTAGTCCTTACAATTCTGAAAGTTATCTTTTATAAATAGTTTTATTAAAAATTGCCGTTTAAAAGGTTTATGTTTATAGATATCTCATGCCATAATAATCAAGCCCATTTAAAATAATTACTATCTATTATGCATAGAATGGTTGCAGACCGTCTGTTTACACATAAATGTTTGCGGTCTCCAGCGATCGGCAACAATGGCAGTGTTTATCGTTAATCCCAGAAATATAGCATCATGGCGTTTGCTCTCGGTATACTCAGCAGGCGTGTTTTACAGTAAACATAGATGATGAATGCATGTAAATAGCAGACACAAGATAATGCCATGTCTTCATAGTTGGTTTTAAATATAAATTGAATTTACTGCAATTAATTTCCAATCTTTTATCAGTAGAGTGTTTCCGTTAGCCATTTAATCGGTAAATTACTATGAAAACATATGGCATTTGAACTGTTATATGTGGTTGCATATAATTTCGTCAAATATATTGAGTACCGAACGGACAGACGGACGTACAACACAGCATGATACTCAAAGCCGAAAAATAGGTCTGTGGGAAAAGTTACTGATATTGTATGGTTCGGTATGGAATACGAGACTCTGCATAAATAAACGGAATTTTTTCCTGTCTTTTATGTTGATTAAGGAGGAAATGGCATAACATAAATTGTATGTAGAAATCGGAAATCGCATTGATCAGTCCCATATTTCCGGAATTAAATTCATTGTACATGTATAAAAGTCATCTTATTCACACGAGCTCTAATTTATAGTGTGTTCTTCTAGGCTGTCCGCATCGAGCAAGCTTATGCGACCGGCAGCGAGCTGTAGTTGTTTACTTGTTCTGGATATGATATCAGGAAAATCAGGAAGATTACCAAATTGCTTACTTAGTTCAATGCGCATGTCTGGATTTTTCTCTATCAGCAACATTCAAAACGTGGGAAGACTAATGCTTCTAGAATAAATATAGAAATATCACAATATTGTCCTGTACACATTATAAAAGTGACATGTAAAATATTATTCGTGTGAATCTTTGAAACATTCGAAATGTACGGGCTTCAATATGTTTATATTTAGTTCCACACTTGTTATAAATCATGAAACATTAAAGCTTAAGATGCATGGTACATTTTACCATACTTATCATTATAACTTTTGCCTATGACGTACATTTTACCATACTTATCGTTATAACTTTTGCCTATGACATACATTTTACCATACTTATCGTTATAGCTTTTGCCTATGACATACATTTTACCATACTTATCATTATAACTTTTGCCTATAACATATATATGTTTAGATTTAATGTTTAGTTTATTGATAGCATTTCACAGATTATAAACCTGCAACACGTTTAAATTCTAAACATGTTTAGGTTTCATTGTGTTTACGTAAATATCAGTTTAGATCCTAAACGCTTTCCTAAACATGTTGCAGATGCGTTTCAATCC